CTCATCTATCTTTTGTTATCCCTAGTGTTCCCCTGAACATCCTGACTCTTCTCCTTAGAGCCCCTCATCCGCTCCTCTTCCGTCTGAATCACGGTCTCTAAATGAGCTACTGCCTCCACAAGGCGACCATAATCTCTAATCATAGACGCGACTACCTCGAAAAAAAGTCCAGTCCTCAACCTATTCTCAAATTCCAAGCAACAGTGTTCCTCCATCGCTACCAACTCCGGTGCAAATCTCGACAAACTAGTGAAAGCAACCTTAAACTTAACCACCGGTGTGTTCAACTGTTTGAGCTTCAAGAACTGCTCTATCAATTTCTTTCTAGCAGTGGGAGGTAAAAACTTGTCTTGGAAAGCGTTGAAAAAAGCCTCCCAAGTCCCTCCAATGCATCCATGCACAAACTTCTACCACTGACCCGCATCTCCCTTCAGCTGGAAGAATGCCAAGGTTACTCTCAATCTATCGTCCTCAATGCCAAGCATCTCGAACATCTTCACCATCAGCTCGAGCCATTCATCCGCTTTCAAGGGCTCTTTCGGATCCCTTATAAACGTATCTAAATTAGACCGGAAGAACTCTCTCTTCAAAAAAGATGGCCCTATCTCCACTACTTGGGCTTGGACTTGATTCTCAGCCCTGAGAATGTCTATGGATTCCCGCAAAGGTTTGGCCATTTCACGAGCTAAAACACCCATGGCCTGTTGACCAACCGTTTTTCCACATTGGACTGAACAACCCCTTCCTCTTGTGCCGGAATACCATCCGGTAATGGCACCTCCTGCTGTCTAGGCCTGTTACACCTACTGCCACTACGACCACATCCTGATATCCTAATAAAGGTAACACTAGAGATTAGCACATTAACAAATGCGTCGAAGCTAACTCACTCACGTCCTAATACAATGCACAACAAATAATTCACTCCACATAATCACATAAACACATACGAACTTCTTTTCTAGATAGTGATTGTCTCGCGGCACTGCCAAAGTTCCAATTAGAAATAGCAGCGATCAAGTACTCTTCTAACAGGACTTCTAGAAACCTATTGACCCAACCAACATCTTAGAAATTAAATTTCATACCCACTTAGTCACATAAGCATGTTATCATAACTATCTCTATCAAGCGAGAAAAACCCATTGTGGTAAGAACCACTCCCCATGTACCCAAAATATTCAAACTTGGTACGCTCTGATACCAAGTTGTAATGCCCCGAAATATAAATACAATAAGTCAACTACAATATTAACAAATGACAACAATTAGAAGATAATTATATTCCATTAAGTTTCAGTTTAAAGTTTTAAAAAGAGTAACATATGCGGATATATATTCAAAAGCCTATCCCTGAATCTATAGCACATGTTACACAATAGAATGAACTTCAAATAAAAGAAATGCCCTAAAGGCTTACAATTTTCCAAGACAGTGCTTGGTTACAACAAAATGGATTTCAATCCCATATAGTTAAAACCCTAGGCTTGTATAAATAAATACAACAAAATAAACAAGATGCAGCCCTTGCTTTCAAGTCCTCCCAAGCTATTGTCTTGGCGGAGGCATATCATTAGCACCTGAAATGGTTTTATCACATAGATTGAACTAAAGCCCAGTAGAAATAATCCAATACAACATATGAATCTTAACAAAGATATAAGGGTGAAATGCATACGCAATGCTAGTGACAAAACATTTTATATCTCCTTCAAACCATGTAATGACAGATTTAGATCACAGTTCATAAAATATTCTTTTTTCAATCGAAAACAGGACAGTGAATCATATCTCTAGGAATTTCCAAAACAAGTATCACATTTCATAGAAATTTCGTCCACGAGAAACCATAAATCGACACCCATGTAAACGTAGGCTATACAAGCACTATTATTGCCATTTTACAGATATATCTTCTGCAGGATCGACACTTATTTATACACGCATTTTTAGGACTTTCACCCTAGACACACAGGCCAACTTATTTTTTATAACAACAATTCCTTCCTAGATTTACCCCTTTTCTCAAAACAATATACATTCTCCACGAAATAAATATACAACAATGCTCAATGCAAATGAATGAGAAATTGGTTTTCAATTCTCCTAATTCTAATGAAATTTCTACAACAATCATAGTTATCTTCCACTGATAGCCCAAAACAGATATCTCTAAACAAATAGATAATTTCAATAAAGATAAACTTTCTAAATTTCATGATGTGGGTGATAATACATATCCAACTCCACCATTCTCATCTATAACAACTCAATGTCACCATTTCAACATCAATTCCATTTATCAATACAAAATCAACATTTGAGATTTCTAAGGCAAAGACCCTCTTTCCTTTATAAAACCATTTCCCATGGTAAGAACCCTTCTTTTCATCATGCCTTAACAATAACCATCTTTCTACAATCATTATTGATAAACCATTTGAAAACCCCTCTTTTGTTTTCGAACTAAAACCCTAGATTGTTCAAATATCCATTTCTTTCAGAAAGTGGTTTTATAAAAACAAATAACTAAGTTAAAACTCATAAGGAAGTGTGGAGAATCCCTACATCAAGCTTAGAAGGTGGAAGAGAAGAACTTTGAAAAACTTGACATTAACGAAACCACGAGCCACTCGGATCAAAAGGAAGCCCTTGAGATGATCTATAATCTATTTCAAAGGACCAACATGAAAGGATACCTCCAAGTGAGTAGATCTAGGAATCTACGTAGGAAAAAGTTAAGTTTAGAGAGAGAAAAGAGAAATCACAGGTTGAGAGGAAAAGAGAAGGAAAATAATAATAGGAAAGTGTTTTGGACCCTATTTATAGTGGCTAGATATTAATAGAATAATAGCTCCAAAGTCAAATGAAAAGAATAAGTAAAAAATCTCCAAAAGTAGGGCCCAAGCTGAACAAAATCTAAAGAAAGAGTCGCAGGGGTCGACTCTCGCGACAATGGTGTCGACATTCAAGTAGAAAAGCTGAGACGCTAGTGTTTGGCAGCAGACAAGGGTCGACCCTTAGAAGTAGTAGTGTCGACCCTATATTTCAATAGACAACCCAGAACAACACAAAAAGAGAAGGGTTGACCTTGGGAACCCATGGTGTCGACCCTATATTTCAGTAGCTAATTCCAGGAACACAGTAGGATAAGTGTCAACACCGCCAAGACTGGTGTCGACCCATAAAGGCCAAAAATCAAGACAAGTGTCGACACTACCAAGACTGGTATCGACCCTTTTTTTCAGTAGCTCCACCAGGAACACAGCAACAAGGAGGTGTTGACACCACAAAGATAGGTGTCGACCTTGGGAGCAGAACAAAACAAGGAGAGAGAGAGAGAGAGAATGAACAATAGCTACGAACATGGTTTCCCAGATTCAAAAGCATTAAATGGGTCGAGTCTAAGCCCGGATTGCTATAACTACCCTCCACTAATGGCTACCAATGAATCCTCTGTTTATTCCGATTAGTATTCTCCTTACATGTCTCCTTCAGCTTCTATTGCTGAACTTCATTTCCATACGCAACTATCCTCACCTTTAAGGCCTTGTCGTCATACCACAGTTCTTCAGCTTTTTGGACTACCATCTTTGCTACAACCTCGTAATCATATTTGACAAACCCGAATCTTATTCCAGTTGCTTTTCCTCTTTTAATCAAGATGAATACATCCTTTACCACTCCATAGTTGCTAAATAGGGTAAAGAGACTCCTTGGTTCCATAGATTCCAGTAGGTTATCCACAAAAGCCGTAAACATCTCTAGTCCCCTTGATTGAACATGTTGATATCCTGGTGGTCTTCTAATGTTCACCGGGTTCCATCATCCTCCTTCAATTTATGTTCAAACCTTGACATTTTGTGATCTTAAAATCATTTTAATGTCAGTTTGCCACTTAATATCATTTTATTATCTCATAACCAATAAATTATTTTTGACAAAAATGTTAGAGACCTCAAAAATCCTATCAATTGTCTCACATGGGTGTGGGTCCCATACCCATGTGAGACATTTGGTAAAAATTTTGGTAGAATTTTTAGAGTCTCTAGTATTACTCTTATATTGAATCATAATTAAAGAATCATAATCATAATTAAACATTATGAAATAATCATAATTATAACATAGTTGGTTCAAGAGAATGAGTACCTTATGAAAAAATTACTTTCAAGATGTTTTGGGTCTAACCATAATATGAGAACTATTGTGAAGTAAATGACAATATTTAAATGTCATTCATTATAAAATAAAAGGGTAAATTACAATTCCAACCCTTAATGTTTTCCAAAATTAAAAAAAAAAAATAAGAAAGGTGAGATGGGAAAAAAACAAAAAGAAAAAAGTGTGTATTATTTTATAAATGTTAATATATGTATGTTTTGCGGAAAAAAATTTGTTAATTACATCATACATTATGTTAGTTTGATTTAATTGTTAATTAATGGACGTGGACATTAGTTATGTGATTGAAAACTTCAAATGGTAAAATATAATTTCTTAAATGTGATGAAAAAAGAAGTTTTATTTTTTTTATAAACCTTGTGGGATATATTTATAATTTATCTAAAATAAAATTACCCTTGAATATTGGTAATTAAAAACGAAAACTTTTCTATATTCATAAACCTCTTGGTATATATATAAAGAGAAAAGTTAGAGATCATAAAATTTTTTTCATAAAAATGATCATGAAAGATTTATGATTCTTGGATTACCTTGATTAGTGTATGGTGTTTTATTCTAAGTGTAGTTCAAGGGTCACAAAACTTTAATGACTATTTTCATAAAAAAAATTTCATGATACCGAACATTGCTGATATATAAATGGATGTCATTATCATATTTCTTAAATACTAATTATTTAAAATAAAATAAAAAGAAATTACAATGACTTGGGTGTTTAAGTCAAAATTTGTGATCTTGACGTGTCACAAAATGATAGGTTAATCATGCTTTGCCATATTGAGGTTAAACATTTGTATTATCCGATCCTAGCCTTCCTTGCGGTTGAGAGTATTACATATAAACATTGAACTCTTCCACCAAATTATATATAAACACACATATTTTGGATCCAAAACCTCTTAGCTCTTTGTGAAGAGAGAAAGAAAGAGAAAAACAATGTTGAATAAGGCCTGTTTGTTAGTTTTCTTCTTTCTCTCAATCTCTTTATTTGTTGATATAAGCCATGGGAAGAAACAGAGTGAAGCTCTCGACGATCTCTACAGAGGCAAGTTGAAGAAGAACTCTGCGATCGACACAAGCCTTTTCGAGGCCATTCGACATGTTGATGGAGTTGAGGTTTATCCACAAGAGGGACTGAAGGAGAGAGATAGGATTGTGAGATTGCCGGGGCAACCGAATGTCGAGTTCACTCAGTATGGAGGCTATGTCACACTCAATGAGTCGGCGGGTCGAGCTTTCTATTATTACTTCGTTGAAGCACAAGGACAACAACAGTCTAATCACTTGCCTCTTCTTCTTTGGCTTAATGGAGGTATTTTTTAGTTTTGTTGCCCTCCCATTCCATTCGCTTGTTTTTTTTGGTTGGTGATGTAAATGCCACTAGCGTGAACTAACTTGGTTGGGCTTGTCCTTCTTACTTTCCTCTCATTACTGTTTGTGTGTTTTGTTTGAATTTTTTGGATTAAATTTTTTGAAAATTGAGCTTTTGGATTTTCATATTTTTTATTTTTAGTGAATATTTTTAAAATTTTAAATATATATTTTTATTTTTTTAGATTCACCTTACTTAGATATATCTAAAAAGTAAAAAAATTATGAAAAAAATTAATAAATACATAAAAATATAAAACATATATTGAATTCTTGTATTTTTTTTTTGTATTTTTTGTATTTAGTGAATTTTTAAAATGTTTTTTTCACAATTTTTTTACTTTTTAGGTATATTTATGTTAGGTATGTCTAAAAATTAAAAAAAATTGCTTAAAATATTAAAAAAATTCAAAAAAAAAACAAACAAAAAAAAACACGAAAAACAATGAAGTAGAATTTTCTGAAAAGTATTTTTGAAAAATTCCAACCAAGAGATAAGAACGACTTTTTTAAAAAGAGGTTAAAAGTCAAAATTATTAATTTTTTTTAACATTATAAGGAAATCTTTTTGGAAAGAGGTTAAAAGTCAGTTTTTTTACTTTTAATCTCTTTTGAATCACATTATTTTTCTAATTTTTTTACACATTTAAAAAATAAATAAATCAAAAATCAAAAAATTAACTTCGAACATACTTCCCAAAATTAGTGAATTAGTAATTCAATTATCATAAAAAATTAAAGAAAAATGTTTGGAACTGTCACAAAGGAGGATCTCCATGACTCCCATTGATATATTGACCATTGATATGTTTGAATTTTTTTTTTTCCTATCTCTGACAATGACATAATGGTTCAGATCATTTTAAAAATTATAAAAAATTATTTTTTATGAAGATGTCTATAATTACTAAAAAATAAAATAATTATAGACATCTTCATAAAGAGCAACTAATTTACCCTTTTGATTTTTTGACTTTTTTAGTAGTTGAATTCAAAGGTCAAAATAATAATTTTGCCATAGTGGCTTTCCCCATAAGCTACTCTTGAATAGTATTGACTTTTTAACTTTTTTTAATAATTTTTTGACTTTTTAACTTTTCTTAGTTTATTCCAAACAAGATCTTGCTAATCAAGGTTGCTTAATTATTGACAAAAATATGTTACACGATACACAAAAATATAAAAAATTGATAGAAACAATATCAAACCAATGTAAGTAACTCGCATAAACCATTTGAAGGTTGTTGCCAATTTTTAGAGTTATCTATAAACTATTTTGCATGACTTTTTTTTAATACCATCTTACTACATTTTCCTAATTAAACTTCTCTAATTTCACCTTAATGATGTGGATAAAAGAATAAAGTTTGAGAGAGAGATGGAGGAATGTGAGTACGTCTTCATGTGAGTCTTAGCACGTTATTGGAAGTGAAATTGAAAACCCTCAATTAGGAATGAATCATTTTTTTTTGGGATAATACAAAAATATTAATTTATATACAAATAAATATATCAATTAAAACACATGACATGCGTATGAGATATATCACTTGACATAAAGACAAAATCACCTATCGTGTCTTCATGGGTGTTTATTTTTTATTGGATTTTGTGCTATTTTGAAATATTTATCTAGCTATTTAAAAATTCATGACTTATCAACCACGTTGCTTGTAAAAAAAAACAAAAAATAAACAAAAAAACAAAAAGTTTGTAAAAACAAAGACTTGATTTTCATATTTGGGACCCATTTCCTTGTCACACATTTGTAAATTATTTTGTATTTTATTTCTATAAATAAACATACTTTTTGGGGATTTATATTTTTAATTATTCGTGTAGTTATTGTTAGAACAATCTTCTGTATACAATAAATAAATTAAAACAAATCAAACAAATAAAATAAATTACATACCGAATTTATTTTTACCGAACCAAATAAATATTTAAAGACCAAGTCGAGTATGTGACACTCTATCCTTAAGACAGATTCGTCCCGCTACGGTGCTTATGGTTAAGCGGCATCTATCTCCCATGATACAATGATCTTCACAAATTTGTAGTAGCATTCCAAATAAATTTGTCCGGCAAACTAGAACCTTGTGTTCTATACTCTCTTTAATTTTCTCTAAAACTAAAATGAAGAATAAATAATGCAAAGGAGAAAAATGAAGGCAAGAAAAATGAATTTTCAAAATGAGTGACTGTTGGAAAATGGCCTGCTATTTATAGACCTGAACAGGTTCAATTATTCAAACTGAACAGGTGAAATTTGAATCCAACAGGTACATAACAGTTTAAACAGATATAGCACTGTTTCAACAGATAACTATTGGGCAGTTAAATCTGTTGAAACTGCAGCAGTTTAAAAAACCTGTCTGGTAGATTTGAATCTGTCTGGGTTCAAACAGATTTGAAACTTGTATGGACAGTTTAATCTATTAGGAATAAATAGACTGGATGAGGTAAAAATAGACAGAAAATTTAAATTCAAAATTTGAATTAATTTCCCGCAATAATTTTTGAAAAAAATTCAAATGAATTTTGTCCAAAAAATTAATATAAGAACCAACCCGACTCACACCCGGCTCGGCCGACCGACTGGTCGGACGATGGCGGCGGCGCGCACGCGCGTGTGGTTGTTTGGGCTAAGGTTCACTTTGTCCATAACTCCTCCCTTCTACAAAGTTGGGGTGCCCCTTGAGGCCCAACCCAAGTTAATACACCAAGAGCTTATATACCCACAAAAACTCTCTTAAAATTTCAATGTGGGACAACCCATTTTAAGGAAACCTATATTTATTTCTTTAATTGTTCATTCCACGATCTCGAAAATGATGTCAACTTCCCATTCACTCATAGATCTTGGGATCTCCAATCAATTAGGTTGGGTTGCCGTTGTGGTAACTCTTATTTAATAGGCTTAAGTCGCATTTCCCTCGATGAGTTCTCAACTAACTCTCTTGCTAACCCTTTGGTTAGTGGATCCGCTATGTTGTCTTTAGACTTCACATATTCAATGGAAATAATTCCATTAGAGAGTAGTTGTCTCATGGTGTTATGTCGACGATGAATGTGTCGGGACTTACTGTTATACATATGACTCTATGCTCTACCTATTGCTGATTGACTATCGCAATGCATGCATATAGCATGCACTGATTTTGGCCATATTAGAATATCTTCAAGTAAGTGACAAAGTCATTCTACTTCTTCACCAGTTTTATCTAAAGCTATGAATTCTGATTCCATAGTAGACCTAGCTATGCAAGTCTATTTGGAAGATTTCTAAGATACAGCCGCCCCACCAAAAGTAAAGACATACCCACTGGTGGACTTTGAGTTTCTAGTATCTGATATCCAGTTTGCATCACAGTACTCTTCAAGTACTATTGGATATCTAGTATAATTTAACCCAATGTTACGAGTAAATCGGAAATATCTAAGAACCCTTATAATAGCTTCCCAGTGTTCTACTCCTAGATTACTCGTATATCTTCTTAATTTACTTACTGCATAAGCTATATCTGGGCGAGTGCAATTCATCAAGCACATTAAGCTTCCAATAATTTGGACATACTCTAATTGAGAAATACTTTCCTGTACATTCTTAGAAATAAACAAATTAACATTCACAGGCGTTCTAGTAAGATGCTCATCATCTTTGCTAAATTTGTCAAGTATTTTCTCACTGTAATGAAATTGTGACAAAGCATAACCTTCTGATATTTTGGTAATTTTCATACTAAGAATTACATCAACAATGTCCATGTTCTTCATGTCAAAATGTTTATTCAATATTTTCTTAGTAGTTTTAATCATATCATTATTACTATCGATGATGAGCATATCATCTACATAAAGATATACAATGACATAACATTTGTTTGTATTTTTAATATAAACACATTTGTCACACTCATTAATTTTAAATCCATTTGACATCATTGTTTGGTCAAATTTCTCATGCCATTGCTTTGGCGCTTGTTTTAAACCATATAATGATTTAACCAATTTACACACTTTCTTTTCTTTACCTAGAACAGAAAAATCTTCTAGTTATTCTATGTAAATTTCTTTATCTAACTCACCATTTAAGAAAGCAGTTTTCACATCCATTTGATGAATTTCTAGATTGTACAAAGACGCAATAGCAATTAACATTCTGATGGATGTTATTCTAGTAACCGGTGAGTATGTGTCAAAGTAATCTAGACCTTCTTTTTATCTAAATTATTTAACCACAAGTTTTGCCTTGTATTTGTCAATTGATCGATCCACTTTCATTTTTCTTTTGAAAATCCACTTGTACCCAAGAGGTTTACAACCTGGTAGTAAGTCCACTAATTCCTAAGTGTGATTTTGCAAGATGGATTCAACTTCACTATTGATAGCTTCTTTCCATAAAGGAGCTTCAGGACTGGACATAGCCTCTTTAAAAGTTAAAGGCTTATTTTCTAACAAATATGATAAAAAATCTGAACCAAAAGATTTTGAGGTTCTAGCACGTTTACTACGCCTACCCTCTTTATCAATTTGATCTTGTTCTTGATCATTACTAGTAATAGCATCAAAAGATATTTTCTTATTATTAGTCTTTTGTCCAATCTTATTCGGAACACATGTTCAAAGAAAGATGCATTTCGAGATTCAATAATAGTATTTACATGCATTTCGGAAGTTCTTATTTATGAATCAAAAACCGATATGCACTACTATTCTTAGCATAACCAATGAAAATGCAATCAACTATTTTAATTTCATTCTTGGTTCGAATTAAATAAACATAACTATATCTAGTATAGTCATCTATAAAAGTGATTACATACTTTTTTCCACCTCTAGTTTGAATTGATTTAAAATCACAAATGTCACTATGAATTAATTCAAGTGGTTTCGTACTTCTTTCAATTGAATGAAAATGAGTTTTTAGATAATTTT